CTCATTCTAGGAGTACCCGTACCCCTGTATATTACGGTCCCTTAAGAAATCGTCCAAAAGTTTCTTGAACAATTCCACATTAACTGACCGGCCTATAGTTCCCAGGTTGGCACCTTGCCCCCTTTTTGAATATTGGGACTACCGTAGCCCTCCGCTCCGCTGGTTTCTGGAATGTAAGCACAAGGTTTTTAAAGTCCATCTTCCAGCAAACAAACAAGTACCCAGTGGGGCTACCCCTGCTGTGCAAGTGCTCGTTTTTGTCTAGGGGCTGGAGTAAAGCAGATTTGCTTACCTGATCCCATTTCCCGGGTGGTCAGCGCTCTGCACTCTGGCAGGTGCAATGCCCCTCGGCATCCTCACAACTAATGCAGGTCCACAGAAGGGAACACTATATAGATATGACTTGGCAATGGTTAAATAAACAAACATACTTTGGGAGACAGCCCATAACACAACCATTATGTTTTTACACCAGCTGTTCGCCACTAAGCATAGACATAACTTTGAAGGTTCACAGTTATGTTTATTGTTGATTTTGTTATGTTTCCCTCTTAATAGGAAGAGATCAGCAGTGCTCTTGCAATTACTTGTGTGTATCAAGGTCAAAGATCTTTAACAACATTTCTAAAGATTTTAGTGGTATACAGAAGGTTGAGATTACTGCCTCTGCACATAAATGGCTTACATGTTTACCTTTCAGAACTGTATAGCTATTCATCATTCAGTATAAACACTTAATAACCTTTTAACTTGCACAAGAAATTAGGCCATTTACTTCCCTAGAGGACCAAACTTATTTATGTATGTTGTTGTTGGTATACTTTGCTCCTTATAGCATAAGATGCTCTGGCCTTTTTGCTGTTAATTGTGCACAGCAAGGTCAAATATCTTTATTATGATTCTTGAGGACAATACAGGGCTTTAACTATGTACGACATGTTGAAGTGGATGGAAAGGCTACTCAATAACCCACATGTTAAGTGTTACTTCCCCATTGCTCTGATCCTCCCTACATACATTTTCAAAAAAAATAGGTTTCTGAATCCTTTTTTTTTAAACATTTTTGCTATGCAGTCAAATGACCACAAAGCTCTGACTCATTTGTCTTGCTCTGTGGCTGGTGGTCATGCACTTTCTTCTGACCAACAACACCTTGGACCTATGAATGACACTGCTCTGCGGATCACTGCCCAATGGGACTCAGCAGCGTTGTCATCCCAACAGGACACACAAGGGTTACTAAAGCAAGTATGTTCACTCTGCAGGGGAATTTTCCCTTGGCTTAGTGAATGAGGTGAAGCTCTGCTTACTTCCATCATCCAATTATGTTTAAGCAAAAATACAGGTTTTTTTTGTTTTTTTTTAGTTTCCTTGCATGTGACTGGGTATTCTTTGCAAAGTGAATTTTCACCACATTCACCTGTTGGGTTATTGTGTACCCTTTCCTTCTACTGTCATTACTCATGTTTGAGGGGTCTATTCACAAAGCTGCCGAGTGAATAAGCGACCCAAAGTGAAGTGAGCCAAATGCTGTTCGGCTATTGACTTCAGGCTTGTACGGCTGATTTCAGCCGTACACCGACTAAAATCAGCCGTACATTGGCTTGCTGCGGCTGGCTTCGGGTCGGCCAAACATGTTCAGCATGTTCGGCCGACCCAAAGTGCAGAAGGAGTTCGACTCAGCCGATCCAACATCCGGATCGGCTGAGCCGAACCTCCGGCAGGCTACTCGCTGCTGTTTGGTCTATTCTCATAGATGCTGAACAGCAGTGAGTGAATAGCTCGACTATTCTGCTCGGTACCTCTGTGGTACCGTGCAGAATAGAAAACCAGTTAAAAAATAAAAAAATAAATAGAAAACGTTTATGCGGAGCTAGCAGTGACAGCTAGCTCCACTCAGCAGTGTTCTATTGGCTGGGCGGTTCTGCTGCCGTCAGAGTAAAAGAAAAAAAAAAACCACCATAGGAATGCATAGCTAGATTCCTATTGGCTATTTCACTTTGCAATAGCAAACTGCCCACTGCTGCTGTCAATCACTAGAAGTGGACCTGATAGAGAACTTCAGGTCCCCTCTGCTGCCAAAAGGAATGTAGCTATGCATTCCTATGCTGTGTTTTTTAATTATTATTCTGACGGCAGCCAACGGCACCGATGTCAGAAGAAAAAAAAAGACACCAGAGCAGGGAAAGGTTTACTCTGCTCGATCGAGCAGAGCAAAACTTTTCGGGAGAAAGTGTTTCTCTCCCGGGCGTCCGGGAACCTGCTATATAATAGCGGGAGACTTCCGGAGCATCCGGGAGAGTTGGGCTGTCTGGAGATAAGCGTCCCTAATTACCTGGTAACCAGGGACACTGATCTGTCTGTGAAAGTGGCCGGAGCCAGCCGTGAGATGACAGCTGGCTGCGCCCAGCAGTCAGTAGCAGGCCGTTTTTGATGTGTTAAGCTTTTTTTTTTTCAAAGTTTCTTTTCCATTGGTCCACCTAAATGTGTTTGAATGGGGTTTCAAATTAACTTGATCATAATGGTTTCTACCTCTTCAGTAATGACTATTATACAGGAAAATGCAAATTGTGTGGCTTATTAAGGCTAGAAGAGATAGTAATTGATAATTGAGATTTTTTTTTTTCTGATTTAGTTTTATTGCACTCCCTACTAATTTGCATGTGTTTTTTTAAGTTACTAAATCAACTTAATATTAGTTTAAGGGCCCTGCCACACCATATCCAGTGCATGTAGCATTTTTTCTGATCGCATTGCACCGGAAAGGAGGGCATTCCTGTACCTCGCGCTCTGGTGCAGGTGATCGCACTGCAGGCGAGGGGGGAGGGGGCGCGTGTCTGCGGTGCCATTGACATGAATGTCACCGCCACACCCTTTCTTGTCCCAGAATGTGACCTGGCCTGATCTATACGATCCAGTGCGTTTCGGGCCCGAACTGAGCTAGAACGCACTGGATATGGTGTAACTGGGCCCTGGAAGTCAGACTTCAGACTGGTTTAGTCTTGAATAGAGTAGGATAGGTTTACAATCTCTGTCAAAGCTTTTGATAGCTGCCTGTATCCCTGTTGGAGATTGTGCCTCATTTCCTGGCTCACTTTCACTAGAATAGGAATTAACTGGCAATCTATGTAATGCTGACAATGCCCTCTACAATCTGATTGTATAATCACAGAATATATTACATAATAACAGAATATTACATATATCTTGTAAATCAAAACAGGATTGTACAGAGATTTTACAATTAGTTTATAATGTGTATGGTATGGTATATGAATATGAGTGGTGAAAAGTTAGAATCTGCCAGACTTCTATTGCTATGTTCCCACTGGGGTGATTTTCTCTTTTACATTCCCTACTGTTGAGGCCCTGTAAGACAGGGTTTTATAGTTTTATTGGGGACAAAAATCCCCCAGTAGTGACACAGACTGTTAGATCCATACAACTCACAAATTATGATTACCTGGATTCCCAAATGACATGGTTCTCTTTAGATCAGACAGATTTCCCCCAAATATTCAGATGAATCAAACATTTGAATAGTGAATTGGCAATTTTAGCTTTCTAAAACATTTTTTGCATTTATAAGGACATATTTAGTGTAATTTATTAAAATAATAATCTGAACAAATAACCTAATTCACTTCCATTGTTGTAGTACAAAAAACATATTGATAGCATTAAGAGTGTCAGTTTCTGGACCCAAAATAATGGAATCTCTTTCTTTTTACCTGCAATGCAGCAGAGCATCAGGTGTTTTTGTAATAATTGTTATGCTAGCATCAATAAAATGTAAAGGCTGCATCAGTGAAGTGTGATTTCTCATGTAATTTATCTTTTGCATTCCAATAGTGAGCTTTGAGTGTTGGAGTACTCAAATCCCTCTGCTACGCCACCTCTCAAATATCTGAGTTTAGACAAGAGAAGAGCCAAGGGCATATACAATCATTTTTAGGCTGCAGTTGGGCACGATCGTAATGGCTCTGATAGGGGGTTTCATCTAAAAAAATAATTTTTTGCTGTCTGCGGCCCTGTTGGGGTGATTGCAATCTCTCTCTTTGTCCTGGTGACCATTGTCCCCAAGACAAAAAGTGATGGGAAATCCCCCATAAAACAAGAATTGTCACCACCGCAAGAAATAAAGGAAAATCCTTCAATGGGAACACTGTTCCTGTGAAAACTCTTTAAGATGGCAATTCAGCTTACTTTGGAGATATTTGCTCCTATTTCTTATTATGTCTTCAGGACAGGAAGTGAAGGGAAATCTCCCCAGTGGGATACAGGCAGCAAAAAATAACTATCTAAACCTAAAAAAAGTTTGGCTTTACATATTACTTAAAGCTAGCTTTATATCTTAGATCTATTATAAATCTACAAAGTTTGTCTCCGGTATAAAAGTTTTTTTTTCTCTTTAAAAAAAGCTGCATTTCACTGTGTAGATGTAGGGAGAGAGCATGTACACTGTATTAATATCTTAACACCACATTACTAATATGTGTCCTTTTTCTCTCTACAGGTATTTCCTTCATTATACAACTGGAAACACCACTGGAAATAACTAAAATACAAAAAGTTGCAAAATGATATGCAAGCAATGAAAGCACAGCCAAGAGTACTTGTCAATCTGGCCATCAACAAAAACTAAATATATACTACTCTTTCAATGTATCAGTGAGAACTTGAAGCATCAAATAAGAGACAACACAAAATTACTACAAATGTTTCTTCAACAGCGAGTCATGAAATTACTCTTGGAATAGCATACAAACATGATAACTCCGTAAGCATGCATACCAGTGATGAAGACCTTGTTGATACAGAACCATACAGGAAATGAAGATATCCTATATCAAACCCATGTTACATCTTTAATTCTCTCTTATTGGTTTCTTGTATTGCAGACATAATTATTGTTTGTGAAGAAAGCTTGCCAATTCGAAAAACAAAATACTCAACCATTTTTTAAACCAATTTAGCAATGTGTGCCAAAGTCATACATTGGATTTCTTAAACAGCAGTTGAAAAATGAATTAAATGTGGGATTTGCAACCTAATGGATCATGGCTCCAAATATAGTAGGACACTCTCTTTTGTCAATTTTTTGTGGTTTTCTGTCACTGTTCCATGTTTACTGTAGCAATTATTCTGATAACTGGATGACACTTGATGCTGATGTCACTCATCATAAGACACTGTTTCATGTCACTGCTACCATCAAGCAGACAAACAACCCTTCTCATCCACGGCTGTATTTTGATAGTGCAGGTGTTCAAGAATTAAGGCAAAAGTCCCACACCACTCATTTACATTTATTTAGGGCACTGAAAAATGCTGCTAGCACCATGTTGGCTAATCCATCTGTGTACCTGCCTCCTCCGAAGCATTCTGATTTTGCAGCCAAGTGGAATGAAATTTATGGGAATAATCTGCCGCCCTTGGCACTCTACTGCCTTCTTTCTCCAGATGATAAAGTTTCATTTACTTTTTTGGTAGAATATATGGACAGAATGACATACTACAAAGATTGGTTTGTTCAAAATGCCCCTGCGGATGAAGTCCCAGTTGCACACTCTTTAACTGGTTTTGCCACTGCATTTGACTTTTTGTATCACTCACTGGACCGCAGTAGAAGAAAAAAATATTATAAAAAAATTGAGACTGTGACCAGTGAAATGTATGAATATTCCAAAATTCGTTCTTGGGGTAAACAATTGATCCACAATCACCAAACCACTAACATGGTTGCATTGCTCACCGGTGCACTTGTTTTGGAAGAATATAAATCAAACCAGTCAAGCATCTGGAAGGAAAATGCTATTGATGGGATGGAAAAGGCAATGTTTTTGCTAAATCATGTGGTAGATGGTTCTCTTGATGAAGGAGTTGCATATGGGAGCTACACATCAAAATCAATTACGCAGTATGTTTTCTTAGCACAACGACATTTTGGTATTGATCATTTAGAGAACAATTGGCTGAAAATGCACTTTTGGTTTTATTATTCTACTCTGTTGCCTGGTTACCAGAGAACTGTTGGAATAGCAGATTCCAATTACAACTGGTTCTATGGGCCAGAAAGCCAGTTAGTGTTCCTGGATACATTTATCCTTAAAAATGGAGCTGGAAATTGGTTAGCAGGTCAGATTAGAAAGCACAGGCCAAAAGATGGACCAATGGTACCATCTGCTTCACAGAGGTGGAGCACCCTTCATACAGAATACTTGTGGTATAATCCTGATCTACCTTCACATCCACCAGCAGATCATGGTACACCAAGAATGCATTTGTTTTCTAACTGGGGAGTTGTAACATATGGGGCTGGCTTGCCTCATTCCCAAACTAACACATTTTTTTCCTTCAAATCTGGAAAGCTTGGTGGTCGAGCTGTCTATGATATTGTACATTTTCAACCATACTCTTGGATAGATGGCTGGAAAAGTTTCAATCCTGGTCATGAACATCCAGATCAGAATTCTTTCACATTTGCTCCCAATGGACAAGTATTTGTTTCAGAGGCCCTATATGGTCCAAAATTTAGTCATCTGAATAATGTTTTAGTTTTTGCTCCATCTCCTACAAGTCAGTGCAATAACCCATGGGAAGGACAACTTGGGGAATGTTCACATTGGCTGAAATGGACAACAGGTGCAGCTGGAGATGCATCTGGTGAGATCATAACTGCAAGTCAGGAAGGGGAGTCTGCTTTCGTAAGCGGTGAAGCAGTGGCTTCCTATTCGTCTTCCATGAAATTAAAAAGTGTTTATCGTTGCCTTTTACTTTTAAATCACCAGACTTTGCTTGTACTTGATCATATTGAGAAACACGAAGACTCTCCAATCTCATTAGTTAGTGCCTTTTTTCATAATTTAGACATAGATTTTAAATACGTTCCCTATAAATTTTTGAACATATTAAATGGTGCTATGATGGACATTTGGGATGCACATTACAAAATGTTTTGGTTAGCTGAAAATGGTAATAGCCCTGTTGCTAAAATACAAGAAGCTGAACAGGCAGCGGAGTTTAAAAAGCGCTGGACTCAGTATGTTAATGTTACCTTTCCACTGAGCCAAAAAACTTCAAGGATTGCATATTTATTTCATGGACCATATGTCAATGTTTCAAGTCTAAGATTCCTAGACAGTACCAAACATGGAGTTAAACTCGCTGTAAAAATAAATAATACCGAACATGTGGTGTCCATAGTAACAGATTATAATGATCTCCAAGTCAGATTTGAATTTCTGGGCTTTGGGGGTTATGCAAAATTAGAAGACCAAAACAAAATTGTGCAGTTTGGCCTGGGAACTGAGCATGTAAAGGAAAATAAACTAACCACCATGAATGTATTTCACTTTGGATTTAGGATCAATTTGATCATGGGTTTAATGTTATGTGTAGGCTTGGGGATTTTAGCATTTCATTGGAGAATCTATGTTTCCTTTGGTAAGCTGATGCGTTGGATTTTCTTTCTAATCATGACCCTGTGGTTTTTTGAATTAGTAGATATGTGGACAACATGCACTCAGCCTATTTGTCCAAAGTGGAACAGTGAAGCTACAGATGCAGAAAGCATTAAGATATTGGAAACATATTCTAATTTGCCTACTGTAGTGATAACATCTCTACCGGGTTCAGGAGCTGAAATTTTAAAAGTACTCTTTTTTAACAGTTCAGATTTTGTTTACATCAAGGTCCCTACAGCTTACATTGACATTCCTGAAGCACAGTTCAAAATCGATTCCTTTCTTGATGCTTGTGAATGGACTGGCTCCGATGTACAGGATGGACATTTTCAGCTAATTCAAGGCTGGCTTCAGTCTCTACTTCAATACACACAGCTCCATTTACACAACATTGATTTACAGGAGGTCAATAGGCTCAAACTTTTTCATCACCCCTCAACTAGCAAAGATGAAAGAAGATTTAAAAGAAGAGATACTTTCTCTGAGCAAAAAACTAGACTAAAAGAAATGTATGATAGAGATGCAGACTATGTTAGACAATTACGCAATCATGTATCATTATTTCCAAAGGCTCAGCCCGTGGTTAGCCTAAGTAGTGGAAGTTGGACTTTAAAGCTTCCATTTATTCATAAGATTGTTGGATCTCAGCTAAGGGCATTATTTATTGTTCGGGACCCACGAGCATGGGTTTATTCTATGTTATATAAAAGTAATCCCAGTCTTTACTTATTAAAAAATGTTCCACAACATTTATCAGCAATGTTCCAGAAGGAAGAAAAGCAGAAATGTAGCTCGAATTCTGGCTATGCATATGAATATGAGTCCTTAAAAGAAGAACTGTCTAATTCCAAGTCAAATGACATCTCAAAACTGTCTCATCTATGGTTAGCAAGTACAGCAGCAGCAGTTAGGATAAACAGTGATTTGCCCTCAAAAAATTATCTTTTGATTACATTTGAAGATATTGTTAACTTACCACAACAGACTGCTGAAAGAATATATACCTTCTTTGGCATTCCACTTTCACCTGCAAGTTTAAACCAAATCATTTTTGCCAGTTCCACCAACCTATTCTACCTTCCCCATGAGGGAGAGATTTCACCTGCTAGTATAAACATGTGGAAACATAACATGCTGGAGGAAGACATCAAAGTGATTGAGGACATATGCCGGACACAAATGGATAAGCTTGGATATGAAAGATTTAAGGGTTGAAAGGTTTATTGCAAAACCACTGTATTACAGGCTGAGCCAAAAATCATCATTGTGAATGAGGATTTTCTGAGCTGTAGCCCCTATGTGCTGCAGGTCAGCAGTCATTTGCACTAACACAATATGCTTTATGAATTACAATCAGAATAAAATATTCTTTATTCTTGTAAATTGTATTTAGATTTTTTTTAATAGATTTTATGCATAGTCATTTATAAAAGCTGTAAAGCAATTTAATGTTATATAAGTGACATATTCTTCTAGTTAGATTTTAACAAACCAAAATTGTATAAAGAGATATTTATGTTTCTGCTTGGTCCTCTTCTTTATGGTTTGGTTGTTTAATTAAAACAGAACCTTTCCAACCTGAGGTCTTTTACACATGGCCATCGAGAGTGCGTCTGGCATGTGTTCCTTCCTGACACTTGGACATGAAGCTGAACATCAGGCAGGAAAACTTTCATATTAATATTTCTCAATAGACACAAAAGGATATAAATCCACTTTGTGTGTGGCAAATGTCTTTTCAAACCCAGTTATTACCTGTATACAGTATGCCTGTGTATAAGTAAAGCTGCCCATACACCTTACAACTATTGCACGACTTTCGTTGTGCGATGGTTGTAAGGTGATTTAAATTTTGTACAACCTGCCCTTCTTGGACAGGCAGATCGTACTTGCGATCATCTCAAGCCTTCCCCGCTGAGGCTTTCGTCTTGAGATCGCGCTACCAACCCGCCAAAAATCGTACGATTTTCGGTGGGTTTTCTATCGTGCTCGTAAGACGAAAGTCGTGCGACAGTACTGTAAATGCGGTCGCACGCTGCCCATACACCTGCCAATGATCGTAGGATCACCTGAGATCGTACGATAATCATCAGGTCTATGGGCACCTTAAGGGTGACATGATTACTGTGTTGCACATGGCCTGTACAGAAAACATAGCTGTGGGAGGGACCCAGCAGGCCCTACCACTACAGACTGTCTGCAGAAAGATACTGGAGGGGGCAGAAACAAGACCAGTTGCCCTGCACTAGGAAAGGTTTGCACTGGATCAGAGGCGTAACTAGAAACTTCAGGGCCCCGGTGCAAGAAATCATGAAGGCCCCCCCCCCCCGCCATGGGAAGGAGCTGCGGAGAGTTGGCCTGCTGCATGCTGGGAGCTGAGGCGGTTAACAGGGCCCTCTTATTTCTGTCTGTCCACCCCCAAGTGGTGGAACTACCAGAGTCGCAGTTGCCACTGGGCCCTGGCGTTCCAGGTGCCGATATTGCCTCCTGGGACTACAGCTCCCAGCAGACAGACACTCGGCAGCTCTTTCTTTTCTACCCATAGTGGATAATATGGGGGTGTGGGCGGTCTCACCAGGGATGCGGGCCGTCTCACCAGGGATGCTGGCGGTCTCACCAGGGATGCGGGCGGTCGCAGCAGGGCTGCAGGCGGTCTCACCAGGGGTAGGTACGGGTGGTCTCACCAGGGCTGCGGGCGGTCTCACAAGTCATACGGGCGATCTCACCAGGCATACGGGCGGTCTTACCAGGGCTCTGCAGGGTCTCATGTGATAGAGTGCAGGGTTAGGGCTCCTAACAGCTCACCCACCCTCCGTGTCCAGGTCAGTCCTCTCTCTCCCCGTCTGCCTGACACTGCTCCTAGACCCCTCCTTTACGGGGCCCTCAGGTGCAGAGCTGGCCCTGGCAATGCCTGCAGAGAGGCCGGAGGAGAGGGAGGGAGCCAGCGAGCAAGTAAATAACAGGACTGTGCTGTGTGACAGAGCTGTCTAACTAGTAGAACTGGATGAAAAATTTCCACTTTTGCAGTCAAATTTGAGAAAACCCCTCTTTTAAGTTTGTGTTCTGATTCGCACAGCATACTGAAAAAAAAAAAAAAAAAAAGTCTTACCCTTTTAGATGTTTTTTTTTTCCCCTTCAAATCAGGCTGATTCCAGGTTTTTCTTAGCGCCTTAGTGGTCTGTCCTTATAGAAAGACTTTTGAGGATTGTGTTTATCTGCTACGCTTCATTAACATACAATGGGCAAGCCAACTTAGACCTCTCACCACTCAAAGCCTCTCCTAATATTTCATAGAAAAGGAAGCAAGAAGACATTTAACCCTTAAAACCCTAACCCAAGTAAAAACAATTTAAACTGCAAGTGTTTTCTCAATTTGGTTGCAAAAGTGGAAATGCACTTTAAGTACATACAATTACATGACAGTGTTCTGCTGCTTTCAAATGCGGCCACTGTCTGCCAATCATTAACTTGAATGGGTGACAGCTGCCGCTTGTAAACAGCAGATCTGTGATTTCTGTTGTAGGAAACGTCACGTTCCTGTCGCAGGAATACCAAATCACACCTAAAGTGTAAGTGTGAATGTTGCCTAAAGTGAACCGGAAGTCAAAGTAAATCTGGTGAAATATATGCATGTAATAACTGGTATCTCAATGTATTTGCATGTCAGGTTAGCATTCCCCTTGAAAACTGGGAGCACCAAACTGTGGCCTCTATTGGAATAGAAATTTTAAACAGCAACCTTGATGGAAAGCCTGACCCAACCTTCTCCCATCTCCTGCACTTCACAATAGGATGACCACAGTAATGGGTGGCATAATGGCTAGTGAAGCCGGGGATGGGCATAGGTTCTCAAACAGGGAAGCTGGTTGAAATGTGTATAGAGCATAACACTTCTGGGTTGACTTAAAGTCCCCATATGATTTAGTCTCCATGGTATTTATATGATTGACCACAAAAAAACAAAACCTGTTTATTGGACTTTACAAATCTGTCCCAAAAATTAACTGATATATCTAAGATGAGACAAAACTGAACTGCCATATGTATTATTTTATACGGTATATTTCTATTTGCATAATAAAATAATTTTCCTTTTAAAAACCATGGTAGCTAATCATCCAGATAAAATCCTCTTCTTCTAACCCCAAAACCCACAGAGATCCAAATCCCCAAGAAATCATGTATGTCCTGTTAGTGTTTCATATACAACTCCTGAAATCAAAATTGTTTCACAAAGGTCTCACAAGTTCCTGTTGGTTAAGCTATAGTGCTGTTGGTGTAGAAATGTAATAACTGTCTTCCACTCCATTGAATATGGGTTGAAACATAGGATGCAGCTATGTTTAAAAGTTCAGACACAAAGATATCCCAATCCTTTCTTTGTCACAACGTTTAAAGTCCATGGGGACACAATACTCGCATTCAAATCCATCTGTCTACCAATTTGTGGAGTCCGATAAACAGTTTTTGTTAACTCATTATGCAAATAAAAATATACTCTATTAAATGATACATATGGCGGTAGATTGTTGTATATATTGGTTAATTTTGGGACAGGTTTGTTGATTCCAATAAATATGTTTAGTTTTTTGGTGGTCATTGAAATGTGTATGCCTTAAATATTTGAGCTCCTTGGGCATACATTATGAAATCTAACCAGAAGAGGCTTGCCAGTGTTCCAGAGGTATGCTCTAAGCACGGTTCCATAATACCGAATGAGCGTTCACCTGAAAGAAACTATTCCTGAGAGATACATAGAATATGAATTCAGATAGGGACTTCTGATGTTATTCAGACTCTGATCTGACAACTGGTCCTAGGTCATTAACGCAAACTGCTTAAGCCGGTGAGTCAAAAAATAACAGTCAGGCAACTAGCATTTTCAGAAGGGGGTTATCAATCACAGCCCCTTTATTCTTAGGAAATGTATACTGTAAAATATGTAGATCATGCAGTTCTGCCCTTTTTTTAAAAACAGGTTTTGAAAACCTGTAAATTAAGCCTTGAATAATTTTTTTTAATACAGGCATTCCAGCACACAGTACACAGCCAGTCCACTCCACTTCCTTTGATCAGTAATTTGGTGAATCTAGAACACGTCTGTGATTTTGGAATACCTTTCTTGCTGCCTTTCACAAGCAGAAAGTCTAATGTACAAAAAGAGCAGTACCAAGATACACTATATTACCAAAAGTATTGGGACACTCCTCCAAATCATTGGATTCAGGTGTTCTGTGAAATTTCCTTGCTACTACACATTCCATGGTCAACTGTTAGTGATATTATAACAAAGCGGAAGCGACTGGGAACAACAGCAACTCAGCCGTGAAGTGGTAGGCCACGTAAAATGACAGAGCGGGGTCAGTGCATGCTAAAGTGCACAGTGCGCAGATGTAATCTAACATACAGAAGACTACAGCACGAGGCTGGGGAACAGAAAAGTGGGATATAGGGGTACAAACCCCACTGAGCATCTGACTGTGGTGCAGGCACATCAGCTAGGCTAGAAAGCCTCAGCTGCCAGATTTGCATTCCTTAGGTTTTTCTCAGTTAACTGAAGGAGGTATCCTCAGTCGATTAATTATCTGAGGCTTAACCTAAGGTACAGCACAGTGATATTGCCAATGGAGGGATGTATGGGTACTTTTCTCTCACATTTAAGTTAGCTGCATGAATTAGGCTGCCGGAAGAGAGCTAAGAAGGAAACTTGGAGGAGCAGGAGGCCATCAGTTCAAGAGCATGCTGCAAGCTGTTCGGGATCCAGAAAAGTACTGCTTCCCCTTTTGTTTACATTTGTAAGTATGCACAGCATATAGTGGGAGCGCAAGGCAATGGCAATGTATAATTTGAGTTTTTGGTAACCCTGGAATGGCTCCTGGAAGGGCGCTGTGTGTCCTCTCTGTTTGGGTTATGGTCCCTTTAAGGGGCAACCAACAGTTTATTGCCCTGTAGGTGGAGAGGTTAAGAGAGATGAAACTCCTCAGAGAGTGGTGGTGGTGTGTGGTGGAGCCACATGGGATTCAAGCTGGGTGGTGTGTGCTGGTGGCACACGAGGAAAAGCCAGGGAGGCTGAGAGAGGGGTAAGGCTGAGAGGACAAGTAACACACAAAAGGTATGAAGTCAGAGTCACACAGGTGTGTGGAAAGTCACTGGGAGCTACTGAATGGTACTGTGTAACTGCAGAAGACTGTATTTGTTGAGAAATATGCCATAGAGAGAGGACTGGGACACTTGGACTGTGTTTGCCAAGCTTGGGTTGGTGAGACCGTTCATATTATTTTGCCGAATGTAAATGGGCTTTATGTTTGTGTTGCTGAAGATAAGCTACTTCCTGTTGGTGGAACAATAAAATAATGTTATTTTTTATGTTAAATGGCTGGGAGCTGGGGCTCACCATATCCGTTACTATCCCCTAAATCTCTCTCTCTCTCTCTCGTGGTTTACCAGTCACATACAATACAATCAATGACCGACTAA